AAATAAAAGCCATGTTACTTTATTTATAAATTGTGACCCGCACATCTTAAAACCACCATCCCATTGTCCAAATTTATTCGGCTTTTTCCAAGTCCTGCTAAAGCGGGATTGCTGTGATCCCGAGCAAAGTTGTGCCAGAAAATTAGGTTGTTGGTGGTTGCAGGATTTGTATAATTTATGTTTACATCACTTGTTTGGACAGTCCTCCTTCTGCCCTGATGCAATTCTTCTGGTAAGTTCACAACAAATGTGGCAGCACTGGGCTGGAGTTTCACTCTCACTGGAGTTCATCAGCAATGTATATTCCCTGCCTTGTCAGAGTTTAAACTCAGGACAACCAAAATGTGAGAAGAACGTGTTGCCAAAATTCCACCTGCACAGGCTGAACCATCAGATTTGAACAGGCGATTGTGCTGACGGTTGAACGATATGGTTGGTTTACATGACGTATCGAACAATGACCCAGTAAATTTCCTGGTTGTGTCAATCGATTGACCCGCCTGTCATGACTTAGCAGTCAGTTGGCTCCACGGATGCTTGCTTAGTTATGAGTGACTTCTGGATTTCTAGAATCCACACTCACGCGTCCCCTCGTGGGTGTACAAATACGCCTGTTCAGATATGAAAATTCAGGTGCCCTGGTGGAGTAGTAATAATACGATGGTCTCGTATGCCACACGTCTGGAGTTCAAGTCCGGAATGCTCTGAGCTGTAATAAGAGTGAAGCTCGATTTCAGTGCTCCTCCGCTTTTGCGTGAAATCAGCATCACCAGGATAGGAATAGAACTGTTCAGGTAAATGTGACACGAGTGTGGATTCTACGACGTCCACAACCGCCTGCAGTTTACTGTTGGCTGAGTCGCAAGAACAGAGTCACGCTGAGCTGGTCACATGGGATCTTCGTGCAGAAGAGGGTTTTGGTATAATTTATGAGCTGCTTTGCTTCTACGGACAGTGGTGTCCCGCCAGATTCCACTCCTAAAAATTCCCGCACAACTGCTTCTAAGGATTTTGTGACACGGCTGCGTAAGTTGTCTTCACAGAAGTAGGCATAGTGTCCAATTAGATTCCCAATGAAGGCACTGTTGGAGGCTTCACATGTAATTGGTTGAGTTGATGAATGAAGTGTTAAGACGTTAACGACGGTTTGTTGCTCTCCACGAACATTCTCAAATTTATGATGGAAATTCGAAAAGTTTTAAATAATCGATACGCTCAGCTTGTTCTCTCTCACAGAGGAACATAACTGTGGGACTCCTGGTGTGCTTTTGCGACAGAGTACAGTTGTTAGGTTGAATAATATTGGATGCTTTTAAAACGCACACAGAATTTTCTTGGCAGCAGCGTCCAACTTGGCGTTACAGTGCGCATCCTACAAGCATACATTTGATAGCAATTTTCTTCACCCCACACCCGGGTTGATCCATGGATGGCGGTGTATCCCGCTTTGCGTTTTATAAATGGGGGCCGAAGTGTGTCTGAAGTTTTACCGGTGGGTAGGTTCAGTAAGGTTAACAGTGTACCCTTGAACGAGCTGAGGGAAAACACGAGCGTAAACGGGAACAGACAGGATCAAAATGCATCTGCATTTACACTAAGTAGGCAGGACTAGTGAAATTCGAATTATACATAGATGAAAATGGTCAACATTGCGCTTTTGTTGTCTCAGCCAAAACACTTGAAACAACCAATTTCGTATTACAAATAGAAATAGATGGCAACAAAACAGTTGATAGGAGCCACTCGAATGGCGGGCCAATAATGTCCGGTTCGTAAGTCCAAGGCAAGCTGATAGCTTGTGTCAGGGTCTTTTGGGCGCGCATGCTGCGTCGGTACTGATGGATCTACATGGCCTAAAAACAAATTTGGGCCGACATTGACCAGTGCTATTCTCAACACCGTAGTGGAGTCAGTTCATTCTCCAGTTGCTAGGTGTTTGGTGATCGCTAAGACCTACGAGGAGCATATAGAATTTACTAAATTCAAGTTCCTCTGAGACCTATCCTAGCTATGAATGATTCTGCCTACCACAGGTTAATCAAATGATTGGCCCAACTTTTAAATCCTACCCACCAAACTCTCACACCAGATTCC